AGAGGGTGAGGGGGGGGGGGGGCGGAAAGAGATGGGGGAGACATCGATTTGGTTGCCGCCTGCACGCACCCAGGCGGGAAATCAAACCCGCAACTAAGGTACATGCCCTTGACAGGAATCGAACCTGGTACCTTTCAGTCTGCAGGCCGACGCTCTATCCACTGAGCCAAACCCGTTAGGGCAAGATTTCATTAGTTTTAAATGTATCAATTTAGTGTTCTATTAGACACACAGAAATGTATTAAAAGAATATCTTCAATTTGTAACAATGAAAATATATCCTGCATATCAGATATTTACATTACAATTCATAACAGTAGCAAAATAAGTTATGAAGTAGCAATGAAAATAATTTTATGGTTGGGGTCACCACAACATGAGGAACTGTATTAAAGGGTCGCGGCATTAGGAAGGTTGAGAACCACTGCTCTAACCAGTGAGCAATCAGTTAGGGTGCTACATAAATATTTTGATGTATAGTATATAGATAAAACATTTCAAAAGATTTGTGAAGCAAACTAGTAGCAATGATATATTCTGAGCACTCAGTTCTTTCAAGTATAGAGAACTAATAAATAATGAGAAATGAGGTATGTTAACAGGTCTTTTACTTCTGTTTTGTTCAGTTTTTAAAGATGGAAAACCTGGATCCACTACTATGCCACTTATTCACAAGCTATGAGATGGCTGGTCTTGTTTAAGGAAAAAAAAGAGAATCAACAAAATAATATACAAATAAATCTTTGCTACCACCTCAAGTATTCAATAAATTCGAATATTCATAGTATACATAAATAAAAATCCATTATATGTATGTAAAGATTTAGATATTTAATAACAAATGTCATAACCACCAGAATTGAGATTGATTGTGGTAAAGGTTTAACGAAAAAGACCCAAGGTGGTCCCTGAAGGACTTGCTGAAATGGAAAGCTATACACAGTTCCAAAGTTGAACCTCTATACATGCTTATTTTGTTTGTCTTCAGAGAAAAGAGGGAGAGAACAACTTAAAAGAAAAAATCTTACTTGATTCTAGTGGTAAACAAGGTTTGATAGATGGGAGTGGGGGCAATATTACAGACTGCCTTGAACAAATGGCTGAGTTTAAACCAATGGAGAGTTAGTCATAAGTAGCCAGCATCAGTTTCAGCAGTTCCCATAATGAAATGGAAAAGGAGGGCTAGATACAAGGAACCTGTTCTATTTACTACACCCCACACACACTATTCTAGGTGCAGGGAAGACCAAAAGTTATATGGCAACACCAGTGTCCTCTCAAGAAGATCAGTTTAATTTGAGTAATGGGCACATAAATAATTTGCACTGTTCAACTACTGAGGTTATGAGGTAGAAGGGTTTCCGATCTTTATAACGTCAGGTAGGTATTACTTGCCCTTGAAATTCATGTTAGGCTTCCGATCTTTGATTTTGTAAGAGATAAAAGAGACATACACATTAGATAAAAATAAGTACTCCTCAGTGTTCATTCATTTGAGCTCACAAGTTTATAAGGGAACCATTGTTACTCACCATTACAATACTCATTCTGTATAAGCATATGATCATCTTCTGCCCATGCAGAGAAATATCGAACTACATGAGAATGTTGTCCAAGTACTGCATGAGCATATACTTCTCTCAAAGCGTTCTGCCTAGGAGAAATCAGAGATTAAGAGAATAAACCATTTTCATTCAAGTATAAACTGAATTTATCTGAAACTTCATAAAACAAACTCGACTTCTGTATCTATCATTATGCTGAAAAACTTGAGAGTTAAGACTGTGCAGATTTTCCAAAGGCTTCCATTAAAAAATGGCAGTTAGAAAGTAAGAACCTTACTGGACCTAGAAATCAGGAAAGATGAAACTCCCATGTGAATTAATGGATGCTACTAGAAATAAGAAATTTAAGTTAGGTCCGACTACTCTTATTATTTTACCAAGTCCAATAAGAACTAATGGTACAAAATGAAAAGGATCTGAGTATATCATAACTTCTCAAAAGTTAGAGAATTAACACCACAGGGAACAAAAGACCAAAGACATAATTTTTAATACATACTCATCAACAGAGCCGGCCAATGGCTTTTTTGATCGCTTAATGGCATAAATGCACCCATCCAGCCTCTTCACACATTTAAACACAGAACCAAATTCTCCAGAGCCAATTTTCTCTAGCTCATGAAATTCTGTTGTATACCGTGACTTCATATTGCTTTCAGTAATTGTAATTCTCTGTAATAAAAGGTGTATACATATGTATAATACAAAGATATAAAAATGATTCTTTTGCTGTGGAGATAGCATAATGTGAAATTTTAAAATTATATCATAATTTGTTAAGAAATAGAAAATCACATTTCAGAAACAAAAAAATTAGAAGCTATTTACTTTAGCAGGTCTTGTTTCATCTTCAAACTCATAATCACTGGCTTCCATGTCTTCACCACAGGAACTGAAAAATATATATTTTTTCATCAACATATCTGAAAGACACATCAGCTAGAGATCCAAAACTTTATCTGATAGGTAGGTGCATGGTAAAATTTTAATGAGTAAAAACAGAAAAGCGCCGAAACCGGTTTGGCTCAGTGGATAGAGCGTCGGCCTGCGGACTGAAAGGTCCCAGGTTCGATTCCGGTAAGGGCATGTACCTTGGTTGCAGGCACATCCCCAGTAGGAGATGTGTAGGAGGCAGCTGATTGATGTTTCTCTCTCACTGATGTTTCTAACTCTCTATCTCTCTCCCTTCCTCTCTGTAAAAAATCAATAAAATATATTTAAAAAAAAAAACAAAAACAGAAAAGCATTTAATTTTGTAAACACAAGATAAAAGTCAGCTGATGAAAATGTGATCGCTGCTGAGATATGTTCATTCAGAACATCAAAATTAAAGCCTTTCTAAATCAACTCTCTCTGCCTGCCTCATTTTGACACCAGTGGATTTCCTACAAGTTATCTAGACTTTTTATTCCTTCATTTCTCCTTTTCCACAGCTGATTACTTCCCACCTATCTCTGCTCAGAATTAGGTGTTAGGAATAGAAAAAAATTTCAGAGCATAAACTTCCATGTCATTTAGTTAAAAATTAAATTTAATAAGTATACCAAACCAATCTTGGGTGGTTGGAGAACCAAACTATTGAATAATAACTTACTCATTCCAGTATGTTCTCTTTCTTCTACGACACTGTCCTGAGGAATGAAGTAACAAAGAATCTGGAGTAAAAGGATTAATATTCACTTGAGGAGTCTGCCGAATGTCAAATTCTCTTTTTCCTGATTTTTCTGTATCCATGAACAGAGAACCACTTCTGATTTTAACAGAGCTGGAATCGATTCCTCGAGCTTTGGAGAGCAAACTCTAAGAGAGGAAAAATAAAGTTTTTAGGATCCAAGTCCTATAGGTCAAAGTGACACACAAGCCTTTATTTCAGGCAAAATAAAGTGGTTAACTTCCGAGTCCTTAGAAGGATACTAACCACCTTTTCTAAACGATAGCCAAGAAAATAGGTCTAGGTCCCCTAAAGTGTATGAATGCATTATTAAAATTAAGTTCACTATAGAGGCCAACAGTTAGACCCTTTCGAAGAACAGAGCCCTAAAAATAGAAAGCGGCGGGGAGCTAGCTCCTCTCCCCTCTCGCACCCTCCACCTAAATGGGGCTTGGAAAGCCACCTCCGCCGACTCCTCCCCTCGCTTCCAGGCGGATCTCGCCTCGCAAAGCTCAAAAGCACACACCTTCCAGGGGGACCGAAACTTACTCCAGAACCTACCTCTCCCATATTACTCTGACAGATCCAATACTTGCCTTAATTTCGGGAAGTGTCCGTTTTAAAGTCTGCTGCTACTTCTAAAGGTCTAGAAGTGGTAATCGGCACATTTCCTGAGCACTTAAACAAGGGTTGAACGCCTACTTCACGTTCATCACCAACCACATGAACGCCTAAGGGTCCAATGCTGGCTTTTAACAGCTGCGTATTCCTAATCATCGCATTTAGGGTGACCCAAGTTGGCCACAACAAACCCAACGGCGTAAACACACGCTTCCTCCACCTAAGTCCAGAAAGAGGCTCCCAGGCTACCCGGCCCGCAAGGCCAGCCTGTTCGTCCCGCTCCACGCGCAGTCTCTCTCCCTCACACTTTCCCCCGTTAAGGCGCCAGGACGCCAAACGATAACCACACGACCATCATTTTAACCGAACCCTGGCGTGCGTCGCCCAAATTACAGGACCGATCACGGAGCTTTTTAAAAGGCACCAGATGGCAGCGGCGGCCGGGAGTGTCAGGTGGTGGGGCCAGCATCCTTCCAAACCACTTTATCGGCGCCGCACCCCCCGGCGGACACGCTCGGGGCAGCCCCCATCCGGCGGGCGATTAATCGTGAGCCACCTGGACGGCACCGATCGGCCCCTTTGAAAAGATGAAGTTCCAGACGAGGCCCACTGTTCAGTTATATAATCTTAACGGACTTTTTTTGGGCAGGGCCCCCAAAAAAAAAAAAGAAAGAA